TGCCAGCAGCCCATTTATTTCCCTCCGTATGTGTGGGTGGCCAATGTTTTTCCATATCTCCGCCACACACTTGGCACGCTGCCCTATTTACTTGTGCCACCAGATTTTCCGGGCAAGAAGGATCCAAAGTCTGAAGGAGGATGCGTGGGCGTCAATTGCTGGCAACTCTTGCGTTTTATGCATTCAAAAATTGGCAATAAACGTTGCCCAAAAACTTTGTCTGCACTGCTGCACTTAAAACAAAAGTCCCATGAATTATATTAAAGGTGTTTGCCGAAATCTCTTCCCTGAAAATGTTCAATTTAGGTGACTCTGAAAGTACCTCCCAGCAAACTGCAATAGAATTTTAAATTTAAATGTCACCCAAATGGCAGTGAGGTCCAAGTGATTTTGATAATAAGACACCTATAAAAACGTTGTTTGCCATAAAAAGCGTTGTCAATAAAAACTGTATTGCATGTATTTGTATGTACCAGTGGAGAAATGTATTTCGCTTTAAGGTCTTTGAAATAAACTAAACAACATAATATAAAATTCGGTATAAAATTCTCTATTTACTTTAATCATTTGACTCACCTAAGAATACAAATAAACTGTTTTATCATGAAAATTAGTAATACTTCAATAGACATTAAGAATTCGAAACTATTTCTTTTGGCGCAGTTTCCCAACAATTGATAAAAGATCTCATATTTGCGAATGATTTTTCCCCGAGTGCAGCGATTGCCGCAGCCAATGGACAGCGCCAACTTTGCCATATAATCTTTTACACTCGCATTAAAAGCTCACTTGGCCCGAATGTCAGAATGGCAGAATGCGGGGGAGTGGAGCGTGTCAGTCGACTGCGGATAGCTCCTCCGACAACTCAACTTGCAGATACTCCAGTTCAGGGCGCTATCAAAGTCGTGTGCTCGAGTTACGCCCCCAGAAGATAGATATACAGCTGCAGATGCAGATACATAGGTATCTATGCCCAGCTGGGCTCTTTAAGGTGCTGGTGCTGGGAGTTAAAGCTGGCCGGAGTTCGCCAGTTTCGGAGCTCCGGCATCAGTCAAGCGTCAAAGCGTTTGCAGTTAACTGGAAAAACGTTGCCCAAGTTTAGAGACTCGCTCTCCGTCTTCTGCAGTTAGTAGGTCAGAAGTTTCTGCGGCTGTGTGTAAAATGGTTACTCCGCTATATATATACAATTATATGGCACGAGTACTATACTATACACCCAACGTGACTTTGTCTCTCTCGCTTAGATATTTTATTGCCGTCTGCGAGTCTCGCTGTTTGCTTTCATTTTTATATACGGCGGCGAACAAACAACTGCGATTTTAATGCCGGGTGAATGTCATGTTCTGAGTCCCCAGTCTCCATTGCTACTGGTTTTCATTTTATGTCTCTTTAACCCACACACACGCTTTCTGTAAAAATAGAAGCATGTTTGGGCATTTATTCTGTTGTTTTCTCAAAGAGATTTTAATGCTTTGAAAGTGTCATGGAATTTAATAGAACACCTCAGCGATTTCATTTTAAAGAAAGGGGCAAAAGATCTATAAAAGTTTCCCACACAGAAAAGTTCTATTAATACTATTTAATTATTTTTTGTACTAGCCAATCATTTCAAGTTCTATTAAATACATTCAAATAATTTTAAAACAAGAACGTAATTCCGAATTTGTCTTTTTAAATGAATGAACCCTAAGATATCACCATTAAAACGCATTAAAAAAATCACATAATGACTTATAAAGAATTTGAATATAGCAACAAGCTACGTCGCAAATTGAAGCCCTTTGTGTGCAAAAAAAACTCCTATCCATAATCTATTATTCTTAGATTTCTCCCTGTGCAGCTTAAAGATCTTTTGAACTCGAATCACCCAACTTTAACCAGAAGAACAAGCCATTCCCCCAAATGTCTACCCAAATTAACACAGCTCGTAGTTCAGGCCCCGAAACCCTTTTTGCCAAAACAACAAAAGCCCGCAAAACAATGAGGGAACCGAAAAAAAGTTACTATTACAAATCAGAACTGCGGCAAAGTTGAAAAGCGCTCTGTAATTATGGCCTCATTCGGGAAGGAAAATCGGGGAGAAGGGAAAACGCTGTGATTGAAAGTTGAAAATGGGTTTTGTGGCTTAATCCAACAGGCAGCTGCAGCCAAAAATTCGCTTTGTCAGTGGGCCAAAATCTGAAAAGCCTTGGCTTTGTATGTATGTGTGTGTGTGCCAATGTGCCAATGTTAATATGCTTTTCCAGCTAATTATTTTCATTTGCTGCGCCCGCGGTGATTGCCTCATTTTCCACATTTAATTACATAAGTCGAGGTGAAAAGAAAGGAAAACTGAATTTGAAACTGAAACTAACCGAGAGCGAAAAGAAAAGCCCCAATGAATTAAATAAATTATCAAATATTCATGTAAATTAAATTCAACACGAATTTCGCTTTCATTGTCTGCCGTTCGCATTTAATTAGTTTTCCAATGCTTTCATTTGATTTCTCACGAGCGGAGAAGAGAAGCCGCTGCTTGGGGAAATGCCTGATAAATAAAATTAAGTTTCCATTAAACTTTGATTAGGCCTTCTTCTTCTAATTGGCGTGCGGGTGCGAGCGGAATGAATGTTTCGGTTTTACGAGCTCCCATAAAAACATGAATGCTGTTGTTGTTAGTTGTCGGCGGATGTTGGCCTGATAAAAAAAGGAAAAATCCCGCTGAGTCTTATCGTAATGAAGCCGCCTTTGTCTTTGACGCACTGAAAATTGCTTAATCAATTGGAAACTGTTCACTCGCATGCAAATGTCAAACTGACAGCTGCCGGAAAGGAAAAGGAAGGGGAATTGGGAGGAGGAGAAAGGAAACGGAAACGCCATTTAAATGGAAACTCTCTGCAGAAATGAAAGTTCAGCGATAAGTAAGCGGCGGGCGCGAAAATAAATAAATAAATACACTCTGCTCGGCTCGGCCAATGGAACTGTGTCAATGTTGGCAATTACAAATTGCAATTAATAAATGAAAATTAAATGCAGCCGCCTGATTGAATAATTGCCAGGCTGACAGACTGACAGACTGACAAACTGACTGAATGACTGAATGACTGAGTGAGCCTAGACTTGAGTGTCCGTCAGCTGCTTAAAGCTTTGGCTTCTAAGCCTTCGCTAGACTTATAAAGCCTGAGCTGACCCTGAACCACTTTGAACACACATCACACACATGTGTGGATAAAGGTGCACTCAGGGAAAAAATCTACACTTAATTGTATTTCAATTTGTGCAGCTGGAATTGATTTTTGAGATATTTATTGTAGGGACAATTAACACAATTTAATGTAGAACAAATTTTGATCATTTATCAAATCTAAATTATATTTCCCGTTAAATTAAAGATAATATGTAGCTTTAGAAATAAATGTATTAACAGTGTTTCAAATTGCGGTGTTAGAATTGTATTTCTTGTGGTATCTTCAAATATTTATTGACTTAGACATTTTGAAGATATGCGATCTTGATTATATTTAAGAGCATTGCTCTTTTATAATCTTTAAAACCAAAATTTTAATTATATCTGTTGCACGCCTGCAAATAAAATTTTACCAAATTGTTATGTGGTTAAACCACTTCCAGTTGCTTGTCAAAAACATTTATATGAATAACTATTTTCCGCCGTGTTTTAACGATGCCATATACTATATTCACCATATAGCAAGTGCGCACTTGCTCTGTTTGCTCACATGCAATGAGTTTTAATGGGGCCCCAGATGGGATTGCACATGCTAATGGGAATGGGCATCGGTTCTCCGATTTGGTCCGCCTCTAATTTGTAGCCAATCAATCATCTGCCGCTTGGCAACATTCGATCTCGATGGGGGGTAGAGAAGTCTAGAGAAGATACATCGATGTAGTTGAACTTTTGTCACCGCATGGGGCCGTGATTGAAATGCCGCATGGTGCAGAGATCTACGAGTGGGAATCTCGGGGTGGTTGGCAATACGAAGAACGATCTGGGAATGCGTTAGAAACTTGAACATAGTTATTGTTCCGAATGAACTCACCTTTTGGCATTTCTGCGCGCTCATTTCCGAGGGCCTGAGCGATGATGAGCTGAAAAGATCAAATTTATCATGACACGACAACTGATGAAACATTCATGCCGTCGCATTACGAGTGTCAGAGACCCCGGGGCCATGGACCCTGCCCTTTTTTTTCCCAAGGAAACCCCGTTCTTCTTTAATGGCCAGCCATAAAAGTGTAAATCCGAAATACACGAGGAAATCCTTTTGCCAGCCAGAACAGCATCAAATTATTAAACATAAATTTCCGGTGGCCCAACTTGTTTACGGATGTATGTTTGTGCACGTAATTTTCCAACAATTTATCATCTTTTTGTGGAGAGCGGCTTCGATGACACAAACAACAAAAGCGCCAGACGCTTTTCCAGCCCAAGCCCCCTTCCCCTCTCCCCGCCAAGGACCATAAATATATCCTCCTCTAATTGTTTGGCAAGGGTTCGTCTTTTGCCGGGTGTAGAAAACGCTGGCCGTATCCTAATGAATTTACGCACACACGTCCTTTTTGCCTTTGTCGCCGTCTGCGTCGCATAAATTGTCCCTTCTCCGCAAAAATATTCTACGTCGTCTGGTTGTCTGCTTGTCTGCCTGCCTCGCCAGCAAGGATGCCCAAGGATGCCTGCCCAAGGATCCGATCCTTTCAGCTTGTTTCGTCGGCGGGCAGTGCGCAAATTTCTGGTCTTTTGCCTCATAAATCATCAAATTACAACAATTGCGCACTCGCTGCGCTTTTGTGAAGGGAAACGCAAGGATAAAGAGGAAAAGGACCTGGCACGAGACGTTGCCGTTTGCCAATTTGCTGCGCAGTCGAGCATCTGTTTTCCTCATCGTCCCACCTGCGCTGCACAAATTTTCCTCCACCCCCACCCCCCCACTCATTTTTCTTTGCTATTTTTCCAGCTGCCAGCTATACTGAAAATCTGTTTCCCATTTTCCGCTCAATTCCAGATCCCCCTCGGAGAGATCGGGCAAGGGCTGCTGTGGCCAGTGGTTCGCCGGACCGCCGCTGCGCGCCCTCATCGCCGTCGTCGCCCTGGGGGGCGTGGCCTGCGCCCTGGGCGGAGCGGCCTTGGGTGCCACTGGCCTCGCCGGACCGCCCAACTCCCACCTCACGGCCGCCCTGCTAATGATTGGTGAGTAAGACTTTTATGAGATTCCACAACGTTATTTCAAGTATTTATTACGGAAATTATGTGAAGCGTTTTCAAGGGAAAATATGTAACTCAAAAAGTATAATTTATGTGTCTCATTTAGGTATTATTATTTTAGGTTTTATACATTAACATTGAAAAGGGCATAACATTTACTCTTAGATATAGGAAAAACCTTTTGGTCAGAAGAACAAGTTTAATTTAGTAGAAATTACAGAAGTAGTGGTGGGCTAAAACTGATGGAAAATGTGGTTCCCCTTACAAAATCTTAAATACGCCACAAAGTTGTAGGTAACAAATATTTCTAAAGTAAACTAGGAAATTTACATTATTGTATTCTTAAAGTTAAGCATATTGCCCACCTCATTACATTTTGGTCCACAATTTATTTCCCTTGTAAAAAAAGTACATCTTAAACGCTAAGCTACAAATTCAAGGGTGATTTTTCTGTATTTAATGGCAGAGCTGGCCCCATTCGATTTTTCTGAGTGCAGGGTAAACTAGGCGATTACGTAATCTGGCAAAAATCGAGCAGGGAAAATGGCATTAAAGTCGGCGACGAGCGCCTTTTGATGTCCGCTGATGTTTACACAAGTCACGGGAGGGAGTTGAAATGGAAATCCCCCTGGCCGGAGAAAAGCCCTGTGTTTGTTCACAATTGTTACAATTATAAATGCCATTCTGTGTTGTCCGCCGTTCGCTGCTGGGTTTTTCTTGCAGCACGACGAAAAAAAAAATGAGAAAAAGAGGAGGTGCCCCAGTGTCTATTTGAGGGCCTTTGTACCTGTGTGTACCTGAGTATCTGGCTTTGTGCGATACTTCGTACATCTGCTGACCCAGTTCGAAGAACAAACAAATTTGCAGCAGCCAGACAAGCCAACTGTCAATATTGGCAGAGCATTTAGTTCCGGCTGCGATTTCTTTGGCCCAGCAGCAGCAGCAGCCATCGCTCTATTTGGCCAATTCAACAGGTGGCAGAACTCGCTTAAATTAAATGCACTTGGGGAAACTCTTTCGAATTAAAACGCCGTTCGATTCGATTCGATTCTGGCCACTCTTCGAGCCACTCATGAATCATTCATTACGCAACCCCAAAAAGCGGGGCCAAGTGCAGAGCTCTTTACTTCATTTTGAAGTCCGCAACTCTGGGTTTTTGTGTGTGCGACGTCTAATCAATTGCCGGCGCGTTTAGTTTAGCGCTCGCGAAGCGTGACATTGCGCCATTTTCGGCGGCAATTACCGAAAAGTTTTCAGTCCATACGTACAGTATATGTGCGGCAGCATTTTACATAATTTAATGGCAATCAAGCCAGCCAGTCAGCAAATCTCCAACTATGTACAGGCACATAATGGAGCTGGTGGAGTCCCACCATCATCATCACCATCATCGTCATCGCCATCGTCATAGTCGCCGTAATCATCACTGCAATGATGATGGGCGAGGTCTTTTGGGGTCTTTGGCTTTTGTGGGGAGATGTCACAACGTTCACGACAATTTTCGCTAATAAAATCGTATGCCTAGCTGGCAAATTTGCCATGATGACATGCTCCACTGAATGGCCGACAGGAGTAAAAGTGAAAGTCTGGTCGGCATGATTAGGCTTAGGCTGGGAGCTCGAGTTCGAGTTGGATTTGAAGCTTTAAGTGCGGGCTGTAATTGCGTGCCACGCCCACTGGGGAGTGGGCTAATTAAAGTGGCCGCTAAATGGAAAACCAAGGGGGTTGGGGTATGAGTTCAGTTGGGGGCGTTACCGAAAGTCTAGCTCTGAAATTAAGTCCATTTTCATTCCACTTTTCTTCGATTCCAGGAGTCGGCGTGGTTTTGGTGACGGTGAGTGGAGCCGCCTGGCGGATGACGGCACCTGGGGGCCAGAGCTGCCTGGGAATCGGACTAGGAACCAGTGTGGACCTCGGGCGCTGCGGTCGGAGGCCCTGCAGTCGAGGCGGAGGAGCACCCCACGGACTGCTCTACCCGGAGTTCCAGCACCGCCCACCGCCGCCCTCGTACCAGGCCAGCATGCAGGAGTACCGGCTGAGGTGAGTGTTCGACCACGGGGAGGATTACCAGCAGGAGTAGGGCCACCAGCAGGAGTAGGAGTACCAGCAGGAGTAGGAGTGGACCAGAACTGCTGGTGCATAAATTACACGCAAGGACAGCAGTTGGTGGCGGTCCTGCGGCTTTCGTCCGCCACTCGCATGTCCTGGCGCAATTAATTGCATTATGCATAATTATGCAGCGGCCAGAGCGTTTTGTAGTTACACTGAGAAAAGTCAGGAGTCCTATCGATTAAATTTCTTTAACATATGACTTATAAAACTTTCTAAATAGCTAATTTTTCAAAGCTGAAATTCTTAAATATATGATATTGGTCTTCAGATTTTATTATTCTTTTAAATCAATATTTCCTTTAAAAATTATCACCTGAAAAAAGGTTTTTATTTCTTAATTTTCTATGGAATGTTTACAAGTTAAAAAAATTATTAAAGGTTTTTGTTTCTCAATTACCTTATTTATGGCTATATTTGTTACTTCTGTTAATTACAGCCCCAAATAAAAAAAAAATAGTAAACCATCAAAAATATTGAGCCATAAAGTTCAATACCCCCTCTGCTTCTCAGTGTATCTATTGCCAGTGTCCACATCCGCACTTGCTGACCCCTTACCCTTTACCGGCCGCCTTTTTCCTGTCGTGCCACAACTACAACAGCTACTCACCCGAATCCTTTCCGCTTTTCTCCCGCAGACTTTTGCTGTTGGACCGCGATCGCCAGAATGGCGTGGTGCGTGGAAATTCGCCGCCGCCCACTTATCGATCTCATGCGGGCAGCCTGCTGAGGTAAGTACTTCCGTTTCCGCCGCAATCCTCCCCAATCCACCCCTCCCTCTTATCCTTTTCCTCAAACTCCGACTTTTCCGTTCCGCCGTTCGTGAGTTATTTGCAAAGTTTGGCGCCTGCCAAACCGCAAAATGTTTTCCAGACTGCCAAGGAAAATTCGGGCAGGGGATATTCGAGATCTGGGATCTGGGGTGACTCTGCTCCGGCGGTTTGGCTTTTGTGCGGTTTCCAAGGGTGTCAACATTGACACATCGCTTTTCGGGGGGCGAAAAGTTTTTGGAGAATTTTCGATTTTTCCCATTCGAAGGGATGACTCGAATCAAAAGATTGCCTGATGATGGCAGCAAACACTCGCCAATTGATTCGGCAACTAATTGAAGAGATAAAGCAATCCTGCCCGAGAATTTATATGAGCAATCTGATTGCGTTCCGCCCTCGAAAAAAAACATGACTCACACAATGGCAATTTAAATGACAAGGACATTCCCGAAAAGTGGGTGGAATAATTATCGCCCGGAACGCATAATGTTGGGCTAATGAGAAAAGTTGATTTTTATGGCCCACAAATTACTGCCCGAGCAGCAGACAAAGGCGGCTTTAATTTCTTATTCAAATAATATTTGCAGCTCGTTTTAGAAAATTGCCACTCAAACCGTAACGTATTTATGTCAAATTAATTTACTTCACTCACACACTTGAATATTTATAATGTGAGTAATGCAAATGGAAGGGCAACAGGGAAAGCTGATTTCGGGGCTTTACTCCGCACACTTAGGTTAGCCAAAAATGCCAGCGGAAACGGAAGGAAGAGGAAGCAGCCAGGGGAAGTATGTCAAAAAGCAAAACTTATGCAAAGTGTGTGGCAAGAAATCACAGCATACCTTAAGGATGTGTCCCCCCAAGTCAGTGTGTGTGTGTGTGAGCGGCGTATTCAAATGACTTTAGTGTGCATTGGTCGGGGAGGGAGGAGGGCACAAAACTGGCAAAGAATTCAGGGAAAATTTTGCAAAATATTTACACACACGCGCGCACTTTTGAAGAGCCTGCCAAGCCGCATAACAAGCAGGCTGTAGTAGTAGAGATGGCTGGAAAAAGGGGGGGAAATGTCCAAGGACGGAAAACTGTCCTTGCTGCCGGCCAAGTCAATTAAACAAACAAAAGGGCCGGCCAAAGTGCTGCGAAAATTGCCTGTTATGCACAGCACATCACATCGCATCCTGGACAATGGAGGCCCACATATAGATAGGCCCGATTCCTGGGCCAACATCCCAGCAGGATGACTTATTTTCCTGTTTCCGTTCGCCCGGCGTCTTTGTCGGAACAATTAAATGCAATTTTACATACTCCAAATTGCTCCATACAATTTGTGCGACCTTCTCGAATTTTGAGAAATCAACCAGCCACGCCCACCATCCCAGTCCCGCCCCCCTTTTCGAGCACTCGGTAGGCCATTATGTGCAGATGAGCGTTTAAGTGTTGACTTTTGTGCTCTGCCGACTGAAGTGTGAATTGTCTGTGATTTGGGTATAGTTCCCCCATTCCCCACTCCCCCAAAAACCCCCACCTAAAAAGAGCTCCTTTCAAAAACATCCCCTTTAAATCCCTTCCTTTCACCTATAGCATGCACATGGCAACAATTGCCACAGCGGCCTTTTGTTATTTAAATTGACAAAGATGAGAATATAGAGAATACACACTCGCATATACTCACTCGTCTGTTTGAAAAGGGACAAAGTCGTCATATATCCCATACATACTGATGACTGCCAACGTTTGGGTGCACTGAGATATATTATGATATAATACTTATGAATTTAGACTATAAATCAATATATGAACATTTAATCAAAAGGAATTCAATGAATTTTCCTACTCTATTTCTCAATGATCTAAGACGAAAAATAGCATTGTGAATAATTAAATAAATTGCCAATAATGAACATAGAATCATAGTGTAGTAAATACTATCTCACTTAATTTTAAAGCACACTAAATTTATGTAATCGTAATCAAGGCTTGTTTTAAATGGAATGAAGAAGTTAAAGTTTCACTCTCAATAAATAAAATATATACGATATACAACATATATTTATTTCGCAGTGCATCCAGATAGACAAAACTCATAGACCCTATCTCATGGATGCAAATTTGTGCATTTGGTTAACATATTTGCCATCTTCTTATGCCCGAGAAGGGCAAACAGAACCGGATTGACTTTGTCTCATGTGTAAATAATTCATGCCTTTGATTCACTTACTATGCTTACTTGCAGAGCTCCACTGACCACCCTGCGATCCGGAATGGGAGGCGGCGGAGGGGGCGGGGCCGGAGGAACCATCAGCAGCAGCATGGGCGGGTCGGAGTACAGTCTGCCGCCCAGCTACCGCTCCCGGAATGCAACGCCCGCCAGTCTCGTGTGCAGCGAGCGGAACATCGAGACGGCTCCGTCCGGCAGACTGCTGGCCAACGAGGATCTGCAGCTGCCGGAGCCGTCGGTGGTGGAGCAATTGCCGGACTACACGGCCTTGCAGTCGAACACATTGCTCACCTCGGCCATTGTGGAGATAGAGTCCTCGAATCGGGTGCCGGAAAGGGAGACCAGTGCCACATCGGGAGGAGCCACCAAAGGCAAGGATCTGGTGACCATTGTGACCATTTCCCAGTCACCCGGCAGCACCCACAGCCAAACCCAAACCCAAACCCAAACGCATACGCAAAACCCAGCTGGCCAGGCCAGCGCCCTCGATCAGATCGATATATTGGCGCATCTGTAGCGATCGAACTGAACCAACAGTTGGATACTTCAGACACTCGTGTTAACCCAAAGGTATTTATTTGTACGGAACTCAAGCTGCTCCTAAATGAATATATATATAATGTAACCCCTATCTGTAAACCGTAAACTGTAAGCTGTTTGTTGTACTTGAATGTGTTGAATTTATTTTTGTAAGCATTAAGCAGATGCGCAGCGTAGTTATTACGAATTCTAGATACTTGCAATTATACATATATACGCCTACCCATTGAAGTATTAAAGTATCCAAAAAACAAAAAAAAAACAAAAACAAGAAAGGAAAGCAAACTTCGGGCGGAGCCGATGTTGATATACCCTTGCAGAATATTCTGTAAATTATATTCTCCAAAATTATTTATATGATGCATTCTTAATACTCATAAAAAATCCCAACTTCCCAACTTTAAAAACACCAAAGTTATGGCATTTCCAACCGTTCAGTTATATGGCAGCTACAAGATATAGTCGGCCGATCCTTATGAAATTTGGTAGGTCGGATTGATTGGCGAAAAATTAAACCCATAGATAATCCCAACTTTCTAACTTTACAAACACCAAAGTTATGGCATTTCCGATCAATCAGTTATATGGCGGCTATAGGATATAGTCGCCCGATCCTTATGAAATTTGGTAGGGGAGACTGATTGGCCAAAAATAAAACCCATAGAAAATTACAACTTCCTAACTTCAAAAACACCAAAGTTATGGCATTTCCGATCGTTCAGTTATATGACAGCTATACGATATAGTGGCCCGATCCGGCTCGTTCCGACTTATATACTACCTGCAATAGAAAGACAAGTTTTGGGAAAGTTTCAAGCAGATAGCTTTAAAACTGAGGGACTAGTTTGCGTAGAAACGGACGGACGGACAGACGGACAGACGGACGGACAGACGGACGGACAGACGGACGGACAGACGGACAGACGGACATGGCTAGATCGACTCTCCTGGTGATGCTGATCAAGAATATATATACCTTATAGGGTCGGAAATGTCTCCTTCTCTGCGTTGCAAACTTTTGACTGAAATTATAATACCCTCTGCAAGGGTATAACAAAAAGCAAACAAATGAAAATGTTAAAAAAGAGAAACTCTGAGCTCAGCCAACTATCGAACTGTAAATACGAAATTTCGAATGCATTTCTAGCAACTAAACTATAAACCAGGCCAGAAACGAAGAGCAAAACTAAGTATATAGTGTATGTAGGTATGAGTATCCACGGGATATGCATAACTCGCAACGGAACGCTACGGTGACAAATTTGGCGCGCACTTTCGGAAACCACGAATATCCAACTGAATACTGAACTTCGATGTCGATTTCGATTTCTGAATGCGTTTCGCACAAAAACAAAAATAGGTAGACCTACCCCTAATGATATGTAAGTTACGACTAATTGTACGCGTGTCCAGCACGAGTACAACACTCACACACACAAGCAAACACACACACACACACTCGAAAAAAACTAACTTAAAGTCCTTTACCGTAATGTGCAAGGCGACGTAAACTAAACATGAGAAATAAAACCCAACAAATCGTTGAAAAATGCCACAAAAACCCCAAATTGTTTTTCTTACTCGGGAAAAGGGAAAGGAGGAAGGGGAAAGGGAAAGGCAGGAGGGCGTGGCAGCACGTCCTGATCCTGCTTAATCTAGCGTGAATTTTGCTGCCATCGTCAGGCCTGTGAAGTTTTGTTTTCCGAGGGGTAGAAATCCGAGGCTTTGGAGTCCCAGCGATTAACACCCAGCCCCAAAGCCCACTCACACCTTAAAACCGAGAGCCGAAAAAATAAAATACCAGGCTCAAATGAAACCAACAAAAATCGGTTAAGCATGAAATTGCTGTACAAGTGCGTGGCCATGTGTGTGTGTGTGTGTGTGGGCGGAAAACAAAAACTGTTGCATACTTTCAGGCAGCCGGTGGAATTCGTGTGTGCGCAGCAAACCGGAAGTTGCCAACGATTATGACATTACAGGCGAAGTAAATTAGGACTCCCTTTTTAACACCACAAAAACTCATTCATTAAACGCGAAAAAGATTTCGAAATTTATTCACTTGCTGATCATTTAAAATTTACAATCGAATTATGGATAATTTACAACATAAATTTAGAAATTAAATAAGCAACTACCTGCTGAAACAACCTCGTCTGACTTTTCATCATCCGATTATGTCGCCAATCGAATTGGGAAATCCTCTCGCGCGATTTGTTGGCTTTTGGTTCCGGGTTGATCAACAGTGCTCAGGCTCAACTAAGTAAATTAACTCTGGCCACAATATACATATACATATTTAGCGTGGGATCGGTAGTTCGGTTATGATACGATGTTTGTTGAATAAATAATAGTTGTGTTGTGTTGGGCATCATATAATTTGCTAGCTAATTCGATTTCGTGTCGTTTGCAGCTACGGTTTTGATTTAGAGTGATTCGTTCATCATTTAAAATTAGGATAACATTTGTGTGCACAATTCAAAAACAAATAGAAATAATAATTGTTACGCATTATTCACTCTGACAATTGCAATAATAAGCTTTAGATATCCAAGTAATCCGAGGATTGTGAAGATAGTTGTTGTTGTTGTTGTTGTTGGTTAGTGTGCGTGATCCCTGAAGTCGAACAAAATCAGCTGGTCGGCATTTTAGCGCGCGTGATTCTTGCAGAAGGGACGTCCGCCCTTGTTGTAGAAGCTCTGGCCCTCCAGGTTCTGTTTGCAGAACTGTAAAAGAGATATGGGAAAATTATTATAAAATAATAAATTAAAACAAGAAGGAAAGCTACAGTCGAGGGCCCCGACTATCACTATACGCGGTACTTAATTTCTTTATTACTTCTGAATTAATGGTTTGATTTGGAAAATTGTTTGTCAATCGAATAAAATTTCTCTATCAGAAATGGTTATACTAAAGATCTACTCACCGTGCAGTTGAAGCATTGGCTATGGTAGTTGTGGTTCAGGGCCTCCACCCATCTATCACCAGCTTCCACGGGGAAGCCGCAGGCGAAGCACTTGGTGGTGAACAGCTCGTTCCAATCGGCCTCGCAGTATGCGTTTCCATCCTCCAGGAAGAAGGGCCTGTTGCCAAAGATCTTGCCGCACTGGCCGCAAGTGAAGCACTCCGGGTGGAAGTGCTTGCCAATGGCATTCAGACAGTCACCCTTTTGTGGGGGAAATATAATTATTAATCAGGTAAATCAAAGGATAAGTTAAAAACCCACCTTGATCTTGCCAGCGCACTTGCTGCAGGTGGGCGCCAGGTACTTCTCGAAGCAGTACTCGCAGTACAGGTCGCCCTTCTCCTCAACGAATCCAATGTCCTGCAGCGGACGACGGCAGTTGCCGTTCACGCAGATGAAGTGATCCGGGCACCAGATGCGGCCAAGAGCCGTGATGAAGGGTCCTCTGTGGAAGCGATATAAAAGCAAATTAGTATGGGAATTGAAATAAGATTATATATTCTGTTAATAAAGTAACAAACAAAGAAAGCTGCGCTGTTTTCTACTTACGAGGTAATCTCTTTATTGCACTGACAGCACACGGGACGCTTACCCTCCTTGAGCAACTGACTCACGGCCCTTTCGTTCTCCTCCGACATGGTTTTCTGATCCTCACTGTGAGGTCCCAAGGCCTTCACGGAAACACTGTAGGTGGGTGAGCTGTTCTGGGTGCCATTTCCATTCTGATCTGCACTCTGATTGCCATTCTGGCTGGCTACAACAGGTGGACCCTGTTTGGGTTCTATGTAGGATCTGCGATCCGCCGCATGGGTGGCTCCAGTGCGTCGCAAATTGTTCCTAAATGCCACCGGTTCGGGAGTGTCGATGGCCTTGCCACCATCGCAGAGATCGAGTATCTTGCCCATGGGATGCTGGGCAGGTAGTTCCATTTGCAGGGTCTGCTCCACGCGAGGAACCTGCGGCTGTGCCTTTTGGACTCCCACCTCTGTGGCCAGATCCTTCTGGGGATGTACGGCAATGACAGGCTGCAGAGCAACGGGTTGAGTGGGATCCAGGTTCTTAAAGTCATCGAGATCCAGACGTTTGCGCACAATCATCGGACTCTTGGAGAGATTGGAGCTACTGTTGCTTCGCAGGCTCAAGGAGCTTCCTGCATGGGAGAGTGGACCATTTTGACCACCATTGTTGGCCAGTCGTGCCTCCAACATGTTGGTAATAATTTTGCCCGCTTCTTGCATAAATGCATGGGTTTTGTCACCCATATCAATCTTTCCAACGGACTCGGTCAGCAAGGTAATGGCATCCGACTCCTTTTCCATTTCCTGGGCGGGTGAGTCAGTTGTCTGAGGATGGGGGCGTGGCAAGGTGGCATAGGTTTGAGGATTAGCATGCGGATTAGTGGCTTTGACAGCGGTGGTAGCTCCCTTGGGAACTGCAAAAAAACGGGGTAAACAAAACACAAAAAGCGAGCGGGTTAGATTGGTTGCAGGCAAATTAGTGGGAATCGTGCTGGGATCAATTCAGTAGGAAGTTGATCCCAAAAAATAACTCTTAAAATAAGTAAGTCAAATTAATGGGTATCGGGCTGGGATCAAGCTCTTCAGTAGGAAGCTGATCCCAAAAAACAACTCTTAAAATAAGTAACAAAAAAGAGGGAAAAGGTCATTAAAAGTCAGATATCAATATGGTCACAAAAATCTCAGGATATCCTCTTTGAATTAGTATCTTTCGAAGCCACAAATAAACACAAATCAAACTCGGAAACCAACAACGAACTCGGGGATGCTCTGTTCACCTGATCTGCACGTTGCAGCTGTTGCACAGTGGGATGCGCACTCCGGGTCCGGCGGCCTTGTTCAGGATGCCCCTGCCCCTCTTGGGCGCTGAGGTGGCTCCGAAGGCTCCAGCGCCCTTGTTCCCGGCACCTGGGGAATCATCCAGATTAGAGTTCAGGTTCAGATCGCTCAGGTCTGGCGGAAAGACAGCGGGAGCGGGCGGAGCAGCAGCGTTAACGGCGTTCGCAATCACCGACTTTGGCGCAATGGGGGCTTTGAACGGAGCAGTAGCTTTGATTGGGGCCGCAGATGGAGCTGGAGCTTGAGCTACAGCTGGAGCTGGAGCTGATCCTGGAGCTGTGATGGAAGCGATGGATGGCCGCGAGGCCAGATTAGGCTTGATGGTGCTGCCATTGCTGCTCCTGTAGGCCGTGGTGGCCTGGTTATTAGTGGTGGTAGTAATAGCAGAAGCTTGGGTTAGACTTTGCGACGATCTCGCGACGGATGCTGATGCTGAAGCAGATGCTGATGAGGATGATGAGAGCGATGAGGAGGTGGCTTTCTGGCTGCTCGCATACGAGCTTTGCTGCACTGATGAAGTGGTGGCTTGGTAGCCGGAGAAGGCAGATCTTTGCTGCTGCTGCTGCTGCTGACTTTGTTGCTGCTGGATGAAACCAGGTGGTGGCGCCATTAGCTTGCTTGTGGCGGCTGGAGCTGTCCCGTAGCCCGGCACTGTGGACTCCACGGGCGCCGGCCTTAGGGGAAACTTGGAGTCAAAGGTGGGCGATCTCAGGTTCGGGAAGCAACCCTCCCCGAGTGCAGAGGCCCGGGCACTGATGGCCTGCGACTGGCTGGTCAGGCTGCTGATCTCCTGCTCCAAACAGGACAGACGCTTGGCCTGGTTGGCCACGAATCCCGTCTTGCCGTACGAAGAGCGGCGCTCAGTGTCCGATTGGCCCTGGGACTGGGATTGAGCCTGGCTTTGACTCTGGCTAACTGATTGGGATTGACCCCTGGCCTGGGTAACTGACTGGGATTGACCCCTGGTCTGGCTAACAGACTGCGAGCCAGTGCGGATCTCAATGGTCTTGGCACTTTGGGTGTGTTCAAACTCCTCGGTGACCTTGCGACGTCTTTCGATCTGGGTATTTCCCACCTGGCTGCGCGTTTGACTCTGCGACTGCGACTGGGCCTGCTGTTGCAATTGGGAAGACTGCTCCCGCTGCTGGATGCTCAGATTGCCCACCCTCTGTTCCGTAATCCTCTCCGGCTGCTGGCTGAAGCTCTGGCTGGCCGACTGTGAGCTCTGCTCCGAGTGGGCCAACAGCTGACCCTGGTAGCTCTGGCCCGTCGTAATGGAGCCTGTCTGCAGGCGGGGAGCGCCGGACACGGAGAGAATTGTCGACTTCGGTTCCGGCTCCTTCATCCTCGGAGCTCGGATGGCATTCAGCGGATTTGGTGGCGGTCCTGGGGCCGGGGAACGCGTCCTGTCCGGGAAGGGCGAGGCACTCAGCTCGTTGTAGTTCCTCGCGTGCGTGGCCGAGCACTCCTCGAAGACGAGCTTCTCCTCCGTCTGATAGAAGGGCACAATGGGAGCCGGCTTGTTGGTCAGCGAGGGCGTGTACGGCCGGGTGGGCGTCAGGGCCTGGTCCGGGCGCACCAGTTCGTCTAGCGGTTGGAAAGCCATCGTTACTGGACCGGATCGATCCTCAACAATAATGGGCACCGACAGCTGCGGTCGCCGCTCCTTCTCCCTTTCCCGGGAGGGAGCAACCACAATTGTCGGCGCGGCAACTTGGGCCACCTGGGCTATGGCTATGGGTTTATGTACAGTGGAGGAGTCACTAGTGACCGGCGCCTTGGATGCCCCATCCACGAACGCCAACGGGACATTCTCGCGCAGCTCCTGCGGCTCCGGGGTACGGATGGGACTCTGGGTGGGCAGCACCGTCCAGTTGCGCTGGTACTTGGGGATGCTGTCCGCCTTGTGGAGGCCGGACTGTACGGCTTTGCCCTGCTTGGTCAGGTGGCTCAGCGGGGAGGGCGGCGGGAACAGGACCTCCGAGTGCTCGAGCTCCTCGGCGGTCTCCTCGATCAGTTCGTGGGCATCGAACTGGCTGCTGCAGTGGCTACTTTGTACAGCGATAGCTGGTAGTTGGCGGACAGGAGCAGGTGCAGGTGCAGGTGCTGGTGCAGGAGCAGGTGCGAAAGCGGTTGAGGTGGCAGGTGGGACTGTGGAAGAGGAGTTAGAGCAAGCAGTCGCTTTGGAGCTGTAGGAGGCGGAACTCTGAGATTGGGCGTTGGCCTGAAGGGTTTGGGTCTCGGCGAGTGTGGTTTGCGAGAGCAGAGAGTGTCGATGTTGCTGTTGCTGTTGGGTTACTTGATGTTGCTGTTGGGTTACTTGATGTTGCTGTTGGGCTGTTACTTGGGACACTTGTTGCTGCTGCTGGTGTTGGGTTCTTTGGGTTACTTGGGACTGTTGCTGTTGGGCTACTTGGGAGTGTTGCTGTTGGGGAGGCTGCTGCTGCTGCTGCTGCTGTTGCGACTTCTGTGTGAGTTGCTGCATCTGGTGCTGCAACTCCTGACTCTGGGCACACTGCTGCAGCTGGAGCATCTTGGACTGCTGCAGTTGCTGTTGGCTCAGGAGGTTCTGCTGCTGGTTCGAGAGTTCCCTCTGCAGTTGGGTGAGCTGCTGCCCCTGGAGGCCCGACAGCTCCTCCTCCTTCTGGTGGAAGTACTCCAATCGCTTCTGATTGCGCTGCTGGGCCTTGCAGTACTTCTGGAACTCCAGATCGGTTTCCTCCTTCAGGGCGGACACAATCGATGCCCGGGGAGTGTCGACCACGCTGCCAGCATTGGAGACCGAGTTCGAGGAGAGCGGCTCACGGGATGGCTGGAATGCTTGCATGGCCGCAAAGGCGGACGACTTCCGGGGCTGATCCCTGCGCGTCTCGTAGAACTCCACGGACTGTGGCGGCTCCGGCCGGATGCCCAGCTCCTCCTCGTGATCCAGCACCTGAAATTCATGCTTCTTCAGTTCCTGCTGCTTCTGCTCCTCGTCCACGCGGTGCATGGCGTTCTCGGGGTTCAGGGGGGTGTAGCCACGTTCCGGGGCGGTGCACAGGGCATCGCACATGCTCAGGTGCTCTTTGGGGGTGGGCAGGTCGATCATGTGGATGGGCACATCCTTGTCGAAGTGACCTTCGAAGGGGCGTTCGGGGGCGGTGGTTAGGGCACTCACAAACGGAGACTTGGGTCGGTAATCCTCCCGCAGATAGGGCTTGATTTCGATGGGTGGTGGCATGTAGGGCTCGGTTTCCTCCGGCAGTGGGATGCCCTGGTCGGCGGGAGGGGCAAACTGGAGCGCGAACTCGGGAGCGGTTACCATGGCTTGGGTGAGACGGGATCCCCGGGGAGGAGACTCACGCAAGGGAGCAAGTGGTGGCTCAATTGGAGCTGGAGCAGGAGCCGGTGGTGGAGGAGGAGGAGGAGGAGCAGGCACTTCTTGAGCTCTGGCGGATTCAGCTGCCTCCGCCTCTGCTTCGAAGTCATCCCCACAGGGACGGGGGAAGGGACACTCCACCAGGTGGAAGGGAACCTCCGGGGCTGTGGTCAACACTCGAATCATGGGATTAATCCACTCCTTGGGCATGGGATTGGGAATCTTGGTCGGAGGTATCTGGCGCACCGGGGCAATCTCAATCTTGATCTCGGGCGTGGGCTGGAACTTGCGTTCGCTCTCAAGGATCTGGCATCGCTGTTCGATCACCAGACCCTCCCGATCCTCGATACCTTCTAGGGCCTCGGGTATGGTCTCCAGCTCGCCGGATAGTTGGGGCAACTCCTTGATCTCGGGCTCATCGTTGAACACAACGCGTCGGGTCGAGGGAGCAGGAGCGGGTGTTTGAGTGGGCGTGGTCACGGGACTGGGTGTCACCTCCCTTACCATGTCGACTAGCTTGTAGGTGCTCAACGGCACCGCCAGCGAGTCCACACACTCCTGGGCACTTCTCCTGCCGGAGGCGTACTCCTGAATGGAATCCTGGGTGCTTCCGTAATCCACCTGGTAATCGAACTCGGAGCCAGATTGCTCCTGCATCTGGTAGGCCTGAATCTGGGCAGCGTACATCCGCTGATACTCCTCCGAAGTGGTCGTCGTCGTGGTCGAAGTGGATGTGTAGCTGTCCGAGCTCGATTCCTGCTCCGCCAACTGACGCGCACTGGCGGCTGTTAATTGTGGAGCAGAATAGCTCTGCCATTGGGAGCTTTCCCCTTGGGGCTGCGGATCTAGTCGAGCAGTTGCCGCTCCAGGTGGTAACGGAGGCACTTGCTGCACCGGATTGGACACCACCACATGTTGCGTCTCGGGCGGCGGGATGTAGAGTGGTGCGGCGGTGGGCGCCAGGTGGCTGTCATCCTGCGGTGGTGGCCAGGTGAAACTGGAGCCACGCTGCGACTGCCGACTGGCGGCCAGGGCCACCTCGATGTCCATCTCGAAGCAGTCCTCCTCCTCGAATTCCGGCTGCAGCTCCTCCACAGCCTCTCCACCTTTCCGGCGGACGGTGGGTCAAACAGCGGGGGTCAAGTGTTTGGGGACAGTGTGGTGGTTTTGTGATGTGGTTCGGGGCGCAGAGTTAGTTTTGGTTTAGTTTTCAGGGCGGACAGGGCAAATATAAGAGCAGAAAGAAACAAAAGACAAGCGCTTGTTAGTCCTTGGCACTGAGAAAGCGGCAGAGCGTTGGTGGTGGATCAGTGGATCGGATTTTCAGTGGTTCAGTGGTTCAGTGGATCAGTGGATCAGTGGATCAGAGGATCAGTGGCGGTGCAACGGCGACAGCGGCAGCGAATTCGAAGGCTATTACGAACTACAGAGACACAACTTCAGGCTAAAAACTACTGGGCAAGAGGCGGCAAAAAACTTAAGCAACTAAGACCTGATTTCGTTCAGTTTGTGGTTTTAGTGTAGGTAATGGGCTGCGAGTGGTTCGAGTGGTTCGAGTGGTGTATGGATGGTCAAGTTCAAGGCACACAGAGGCACGGCAGGCGGTTAAGTCAGCAGGCAACTCAATCGAAGCGAAGCAATGAGTGGATCGGAAAAGTTTTACGCCCTACAACCAACCCAACCCCAGCTCCATTGCAATTTGTTGACAGACAAACAAACAACGGTGTATTGCAGGCCGTATAAAGAGGGAAAATATATTTAATGCGATTCAACAATAGTCGCTAGGAGAACGACGAGGGGGCGACAACATTTTATGCCCCTTGCAGAGGCAAATAAATTTTTTATTTCTTATTTTCAGAGCCATTTTCATGGCGAGCAACAATAAACACACGCGTATACACAGCGAGGGGAAATTCTCTCCGCTAGGCACGCATATTTACTTCCATTTTTTATGGGCCCTCGTCTGACTCCCTCCTCCAAAAAAAAAAAGAGAAGAAAAAAGGAAAACCCCCAACGAGCAAAAATGGCGTCGACAGGTAGTCATTGGATTTTATTATGCATAATTCGGTATTGGCTGTAATTTCGCAGAAATTGAAAATGGCAGAAACACACGACCAACACACGGAGGACAAAGGACCGTTTCTGTGGCAGATACAAACGGAAAACAAACAAGAAATTATTGCCGCAAATATTTTGTCATATCAAAAATGTTGGCAGCAGCAACAACAGAAAGTTTTTCGGCCATAATAAGAGGCCGTCAGGGCATTCGGCAAAGTTTTTCTCTATATTTATTATTTTTGGCCTTCCTTTCTCCCCCCGAATTGTTTTGCTTAGACAAAAGGCATGCAAAGTTGTGTAAAGAAAGAAATTCTTAGAATAGCCGGGGACACAGTTCGATTAGTACTTATATAGACAGACATAGGTGTACAGATAGATATATCCAAGAGCGGACAGACTTTTCAGAGCGCTTTAAGCAGTATGCGGTTAGGCATGAAGCATTTATACTATGGTTCTTATAAACATCTGTGGAGGTATTTCTTTGAAGTATAGATTTGCAGTTGCAAAGTTTATTGCTTAAAACTCATAGTATTCCATTCAATTTTGATAGTATGCTTAGGTATTTTGTAGAACATATTTGCTTTCCAGAATTTCGCCAACTTTGCACGCCTTTTATTTGCGGCTTGGTGTGTGTGAGGCAATGGGGATTTCTAATACGTGTAGGGGTAACCGTAACCTAAAAGAAGCAGAAACCAAAACAAAAGTTATTCGTGGGATTATGCGTAATGAGCCTAGGACAATAGTTCCGCCCCAATCCCGAGAAATAGGAGGCAAAGTGCCCTCGATAAATCCTCGCTCTGACGAATGCCACAGAGTCCTCTGATATATGGCCCCTTGGCACGCTTCAATATTCGGCCACTCTGCCCAAGAAAACTGCGGAAAAGCGGGGGGCAGGTGGTGAAAAACTGAGGCGGATGCTTGTTCGTATAATAATGGCTGGTAATTTATCTGCTTTCGTTTACATTTCCCGCTCCGTGTGGAAAAGCTGGCTGTGCGTGTCGGCATTTGTGCAAGGCAAACATTTGTTTGCCAGCACATTTCTCGTTTCTCGTTTTTTCCCCCGACTCTCCGGAAAGCAAATTGGAACTGGATTTGCTCATATGCCGCCACTGGTTTTCTTTTTTCTTCCGGGGGCAAAGTTTCGGGGCGAAACCCAAAACCGAAAAACCCCAAATGATTGCTGCGGTTGTGCGTGATTTTCGCTTTGATTAGGAGATTGATTCCTGGCGGAATGAAGATTTATGCGACCGGAGAGCTTCTCCTTTCGCTTCCCTTACTAATTGCATTTTTAATTGCTTAACGAATGTGGCGCTTGCGAAAATTGCCCCATAAATTGGGAGTGCAATTGTTGGTGCCGCCATATTTGTTGTTAATTCATTTCCGTTATGACAGCCAGCATCGCAGCGCGGTAATTGATAAACAAACAAACAAACAGACAAACACGGAGGAGCAGAGATATATGTGCAGATGGCGAAGAAAAAACACCAGAAATTTCCGCGAGAGAGCCCAAAGTGTTCTTGTTAAAGCCGTAAACACAGTGAGCCGGAAAAGTCAGACGTATATTTTAAAAATATTTATCTAAAAGATATTCCTTATCTTTGGATATTGAATGAAAGTTGCCTTATAACTTTTTCGCTAATAAAAAAGGTTTTCTATACTATTCTGTTATTTATTACTTTCTTTTGTTTATAGGGGTTTGAACTAGTTATGATTTTTTAACTATTTCGGAATTTTTCCCCTGAATTCACCTGGGCTTAAGCCCAATATAAAAAAGATTTTCCTTTATTTTCTTCTACAGCCCACTGTCTGCAGCCTTCTTCATTTTCCCCGGCGGGATATTTGCGCTGCATTTAAAGCCCTATCCTGGCGAAAAGGGAGCGGGGGAGGAGGCGACCACAATGGCAACTGCCACGCAAGCTGAGGCAGGAATTGCAGCGGCAACCGTATACATTTTATATCATTTATTTCTGGGAAACATGAATGGGTCTTGTTTCGTTGCACTGGCAACGCGTTACGTATACGCAGCGTATCGGTTTGGTTTGCTTTCATTTGGTTTGGTTTTTCGAATCGGTTCGGTTTGGTTTGGTTATATGCCACCCTTCATGTTCTGTTTTTCCCATTTCCCCCATTTTCCCAGCGATTTCGCATTTGCATTCGCCTTTCAGCACTTTCGACTGGCACACGGAAGTGGAAGATGGCAATCGCATTGGCATTGAAACCGCCGCCGATAGCACCGCCCCCCGCATTTCCCGACCCGCGGTTGCATCGGCCATTGTCAGTTTTAATTTCCCGTCTGGGCCCATAATAATGATAAACACATTTTAAAATGTTTCCACCTATTGATTGAGTTTGTCAACAAAATGTTTCCATTATTAACGCATTCGCGATGAGAAGGGGCCCTGCTAATGCAATTCATTTGTGTGCCAGGACCTGAATGGGTTTTAAATGTCTGCGATGGGTATATGGATATGTGATATATGGCAGATCTCTTTAAAGCAGCAGATGATATCAGATGATATCGGACTCAACAAGTGAATTAATCTACGGAATAACTGAAACTTCGGCTGCGAGGCAATGGGTTTCTATTTTGTTGTTTGCATTTTGGCAGCATTTTACCTCGATTAAAATTATTATTGTTGTAGTTGCTGTAGTTGTTGTTGTAGTTGTTGTTGTTGGTGGTGGAGATAATGTAGGGGGACTGACTCGGGGTGCTATAATTAGATCCCATGGGGTAAGAGTTCCTATACTGCTGCTTCTGCTGATTGTTGTACTGCTGCTGCTGCTGCTGTTGGTACCTTACATTACGACCTACATATGTACACAGCACAGATAAATGGTATATATACACACGAGCAGCAGACAATATATATATAAAGTGTAACTTAAACTATGCTAAATGTTTTATGCAGCCACATTTGCCAAATAGTTTTCATTTAGTTGCTCACGTGGACGGGGTTTAACGAGCAGAAAATGGTTTAGTAAATTTCGCCAAAAGCATTTCAATAATTTCGATATTTTTTGAGGACTGTTGGTTGGTTAGTTGTTTCGCTTGTTTGCGGCTTTACGGTTAAGTCATGTGCAATTTATTTCGATCAATAAAAGTATATATATATATATAAAACTCATCGTCGTTACAAAACAGAAATCCGGTTAATACTATACAACAATCGATCGACCGACTGCCTCGATCGCTTTCTACATCGTCTATCACTCAGTTTTTTTCTGGCTAACAACAAAGGAACTAAACTGTGGGCTATTTAAGTCATAGGGCATACGGTTTACGGTTTACGGTATATGGTACAAATATGGTACAAATTCTCAATTGGCTTAAGCGACTAGACCCATTCACCTTCTGACAGACAGCCGTCGTCATCAGCCTTACCTTGTTGGCCAACGTTGCTGCGGGGCAAAGTGGCGTACGGGTTGTTGTTGTTGATGTTGCCGCCGGGAGCGGGACGCGGCGACTGCTGCTGCTGCTGCGGCGGATACGACACCGGCGACTTGGGAGCGGCGGCTCCGAAGGGACGGGCATAGCCCTGGTTCACCTTTGGACGGGAAGAGGGGGAATGGTTTATTAGCCGGGTGTATTTAACAGATTCGAGAGTTTCGATTCGGAGCCAAAACATCACAACACTTAACACGAGTCAGTTAGTTTGGGGCAGATCTGAGCGAGCTGCGGCGCGAGCTGAGCGGAGCAGAATGCAGGTACTTACTTTTCAGGGTTTCGTGATGGTCATTGATTCAGGCAAGATAACAGTGAGCAAAAGGGTTTCGTTCAGTAAGATTTATTTCGGAAGAGAAAATAAAAGATAGAAAATGAACTGATTTTTGAATTCATATTTGGCCAATTAATCTACTAATAAAGTTATCTAAGAATCTAATCATTTAACGAAGTTCTTCAAAGACTTTATTAACCCAGATAATATCGATTAAAGAAGAATATCAACTAAGTCAATTTTTAAATTTACTAGTAGTTTTTAAGCCACTAGAGTTTACACAAAAAAATAATACTAAAGATATGATTTCACTTTTTAGGAAAACCACTGATTCATGGGCTACCATTTTGTTATAGATAACTTTAATGACTTTCTTCTAGTCTATAGTTTTAGTTTATATAAATTATATCTATGTAATAAAGTGGATTTTTTCCATTAAGAATAGCGGGGCTAAATTACTCTTAATCGGTTCCCAAAAAATAAATGCTTTATGGAGAATATACTAATTTATTTCCCCAAGGGTCACCAATTAAAAGGTGATTTACCGAATCGCCCATTTCTCTTAAGCTGACTTATTTCCCTTGTTCAAGTGAACTCTGCCCTGTTGCTCACTGTCGTCGACCTTGGTCTAATTGGGGGGCGGAGTGGGATGGATTACCTTGTAGCTGGTGCCCGCCCCCTTTCCGGGGGCCTGCACGCTGCGGATGACGTTGCCGGTGAGCGTGACGTACTCAAAGGGCTGATCGCCACCGCCGGCGGAGGGTTGTTGTTGTTGTTGGGGGGGTGGGGCTATAGCCCCCGAGTTGGTGTTAATCTGGCCATAAATCGAAGACGGCTCATCCGCCACGTAGGCCGACATATTGTCTGCTGTTGCTGCTGCAGCTGGGCTATCTGTTGCAGCTGTTAAAATGGGTGTTGCTACTGTTGCTGCTTGTGTTGCTTGTATTGCTTGGGGGCTTGCAACCTGATGTGGGTTAAATTTCAATTGATTAGCAAGTGTCGCCGTTAGCGCTGCCACAAGCGGCTGTTGTTGTTGCTGGTGTTGCAAGTGTTGCTGTGGTGGTATTGCCCCTGCAAATGGCTTGGCCGTGTTGTTGTGTCTCTGTGAGGTGGGTGTTGTTGTCGTGTGTTGCGTGTTGCTGTGGTGTTGCTGCTGCAGCTTGTTGGAGTACTCTTTCAACAGCTGGTTGTACGCATTGGGGCTCTTGTTCTGCGTATTCATGTCGTTCTCGTTCTGCGCCTGTAGCCTGTAATTCGTTACGGACTGAGACTGCGCCTGCGGAGGAGGCGGTGGCGGCGGCGAGGGTGGCATTGTGTAATTATCACCCTGACCAGCGGGAGGCCCGGCCACAGCCACCTCCAGCGAGGTAGAGGAGGCGGATGTCTGGCGCGAGTGGAGGGGCGATCCGAAGCGGTCCAGGGACAGCGTGGAGGAGTAGCTCTGCTGGCTCTGGCCCACGCCACTGCCACTCCCACTGCCGCTGCCGCCCACTCCGGAGGAGGAGGAGCCACTGGAAATGGATGACAGGCTGCTGTGGGTGCGAGTATGTTGCTGCTGTTGCAGTTGCTGCTGGGTGGCGGGCAGGTGTTGCTCCGGGGAAACTAGCTGCTGCTGATGCTGCTGCTGCTGCTCCTCTTCGTACTGCAGCAGCTGGGTGGGCGAGGGGGGCGGTGGCAGAGGCAACTCCTGGCTGCTCTCAGACTCAGGCTAAATGGGTTAATGCGGGAGGCGAGCAGGCAGGCAAGGGTTAACAAAGGCAGTTAATTAAAATGCACGCGCAATGAAAGTGGCACACAACCTACGGCTGATGAACTAAAACCCCTTTGCAAGTACTCATGTGTGTGGGTGTGTGTGTGTGTGTTCTAAAAATGGCTAATAGGTCAAGGTCAATGGACGGGCTAAGTAAAAGCCCCACTCCCAAAGGAAAAAACTGAAAAAGAATCCATATTCCTTGGGTAATCCGGTCGGGTGATTATGCAACCTTAGCTAATGATTCGCTAGACGAGTTTTCCTTTTGCTTAGATCACTGAAATACAGTCGTTTCACTTGATTCGCTAATCTTTGATCGTTGGAGCAGAGTATTTAATCCTTTTTCTGGACACTTTTCCGTGGGTCGGTCGGTCGGTCGATCGGTCGCTTCTCTGGTGTCCGCTCGCTGCGGACACAGTAACGGACACTTCGCGGACACGGACACGGCTAAATGGGCACGAGATGCGCACTGAGCACAGGGCGCAAAGAAACTGCGGCCACGGCGGCCAAAAAGCTGCCAAACCGCTGCAGCTGTGTGTTTTTTATAGATGGCCAAAAAAAAGTGTAGGCAAAAAATACGAACATACGGCGCGGAATGAGTAAAAAGCAACGCTTGGCATATATATTTAGCTTTTAGCAGCCATTGCACATTTTCGCGAAATGCGCTGGCCGCGGCAGAAAAACAGAAAAAGAATCAAAATCAGACAAGTAGTAAAATAGACTGTGCAGCCGTACACTATTTATACCCCCGTGCAATCAATCTGGCCGTGTCGATCCGATTGATTCGACTGGCCGTGCCAAGGGGGAAGTCTTCAATCCCTCAATGAATGCCCCCTTGATCTGCTTACCCAATCAGCCGTAGGTCGATCCCACAAACATAAACAATAACTTAAACTCCATGCAAGGCAAACCAGGGGACTCACGCAAAAACACAGAGAGCATAAAATAGAAACACAGGCAAACACATCAACAAAGGGCACACAGAAAACAATTTATGGCTATATTTAGATCAATTTGGGAAAAATATTCGTTTAATGAATAGTTTTTAAGAAAAAAACATTGATAAAACTATCGTTATTATATTTTTGAAACATCTTGTGAAAGCCTTTTTCAAATATCTACATAAACTTTTCCTCTGTGCTGGCAAATGCATAAAACTTTTCCATTTTCATTTGATCGTTTTGTGGCAGAGAGCAGACAGCCAAAGAAAACAGTAAACAAGAAGCGTTTCTTGATAAAATTGCCTGAGATGTTTGAACTTCTTTGCTGGCAAAAAGTTTTTGCATTATATTGCATTTTTCTCTGCCGCTCTTCTTGTTCTGGAGATGATTTTTAACATTTTAGCATATGTCGGATGCTGGCGCTTCCGGCGAAATGTGCCGAGTTTAAGCAAACATTTTTGCTAGCAATATGATAAAATTGAATGTTGCAAAAGCAGATTCAGGTGCAAAAGGTGGGTGAGTGGGGGGTGGTTGGATTCCTCCGTCTGTTTTTGCTCAAAACTCGAGGCCCTTTGTAGCGTGTTTCTGTGTCTATATATCTATATCTATACATCTGAGTTTCGGTGAGTGTCTGACATTGTTTTAGCCACGGCAGGGAACAGTTAACATTTAACAGGTGGGGCTTTCCACCCGCCAGATATCTTTACTCACCGGTGCCGGGGCGGGGGCGGAGTTTCCGTTGGAGTAGCCGTTCGAGTTCGAGCCACCGTATCCGTGCGAGTTCAAGGCCGACGAGATGGTGGTGGCACTCAACTTGGTGTTGCTGCGGCGAAAATAATAACAGAAGAGATAACTTAGACAGGGCCCGAAAAATCAGATTTGCCAGCGGTAATTGCCTGTCACCAGCCATTCGCCTAATTGCCCCCCAGTGCAAGACCTTTAATTTGGTTTGGCCAACTACATCGTTTTAAATTAAGCAAACATCACGCAGAAACCCCAAACAAATTCCAAATGCCAAATGCCAAATACAAATTGCAACTGTCACTGGTCGTATGCATTTTTGACACACCAGCAATATCGCACACCCTCGGGCACTTGCAGCCCGATATCCCCCAATCGATTGCTGGGAAAGTGCAGTCCCAGTTCGTTTGCCATCGTTTTAGTTGGCAGGCAAAGTATGTGGCACACACATATGTTGCCAATTCATTTATTAAAAATTTGCGGCACAGCCGATGACACGTCAGCAGAGCAATCAGTGTCGCCTCTTTCATTTCCAAACGCGCAGAGTGGCCAACCAAAACAAAACAAGGCAATGGGAATAATTTGCAGGGAAAATCCGAAGACATAAGTACCCTAAATAATCATAAAATAATTGATTTTAAAGATTAAATATAAATATAAACAATTCTTTAAAATTTAAATTCAATTTATATAAAAATCAATTGACTGGTCAGAAATAACTTAAGACATCGTTATATGATTTGAAATAAAAATCAAAGAAATTGCCTTCGAAATTATATTTTTTGAAATTTTAGCTAAGCTATGATGGTTAATAATTTGTATAAGTAGTTAGTTATTGTTTTCTCATTTTTTTATATACACCTAAAACTAATGTATCTTTTTTAAGAGTATTCCCTCTCGAATGTATGTAAATACTCGGTTGAGCATGGGCGATTTTTCGTCGCCGTCATGTCAGGCGTATTTTGGCATATAGCGAATGCGCTGAATTTATTTATATTTCATTTTCATTTGTACCCTGGACCCCCTTCTCCCCCCCTTTCCACCACCACTGACCAATTGGCCGTGTAAAGGGAAATGGCAGAAAAAAATCAGAGGAAACATCGGCATAACTGCGATCACTTACGGCTTGATGGGAACGGGGACGTAACCCTCGGTGCCGGAGGGGGGATTATTGATGGCGGCCTGCTTGGCGTGGATGTCGCAGTAGAGCTTGTTGTTGAAGTTGTAGTAGCCCTGGTTCTTGAGGGAAGTGCCGCAGGTGGCACACTTGAAGCACTCCACGTGCAGGTTCTTGTCCTTGATGCGCACGAACACGCCACTGAAAAATGGGAGAGGGGAAGTGGGATTATTAGAGGGGTAATTATAATGATGGACAGTTCGAAAGGCTCTTCAAAACTCTGGGATTGCCTTTTAATTCATATTTTTTCTCTTGGCAATCAATTTGTTATTCTTTCATTACCATAAAGTAGTTTTTCTCTGACATTGCAGAAGGATATTAAAATAAATCAATGTCAAAAATCAATCCACATTTTTTATTACAAAAAGTTTGTTAAATAAATGTATTCAAAAGCATGTTGATGGTATAAAAACAATTGTGCCAAACTCATATTTAATTGTATGAAAAAAGCAAATATTTCTGATCCGAGGATAAGCCCTTTTTAACTCCTAGCATTTAAGCTGAAGGGCATTATAATATTTTTCCCAGGTTAAACCCTTTGAAGAGCCCCTCGAACGCTTTGCAGACATTCAACGCGATGATTGATCGAACAGCACTTGATTACTGATTACTGATTACTACTGATAGATAGTTCGCTGTGCATTTGTGTGGGCACATGGAAACATTCCCCGAGCGAGGCTGTTAGCCGGATTGTAGGTAATGCGAGAAATATGTAAAAGGCTATAATGCATTATCGAGTTAAGCTCCGATGGCGGGCCAATTAAATTGGCATACAAATTAATACAAATGGCGGTTCGTTCCCATGGTCTGGATCAGGAGCTTTATACGTGGCCAGAGCTCAGGTGTTGGGAGTGCGTGAATGGCAAACAATTGACTTCGCCGCCGTGAGTCCGTGGTCCGTGGAATAAAAGCGAATTAAAATGCAGACACACGGGGAGGGGGGGCAACAGACGCATGACAGACGCATGAATTATCATTGAACGGCGAACAAGGGACAACGAACAGGTCCTTACACAATGCCCACGCCGCACAGCTGGCAGGCCGGATGTCCGCTGGCGGTCAATGGACGTGGTCGTCCATCCTGGTCGGTGGCCAGAGCCGCCGCCGCCGCCTCCATTTCGGCCTTGTACTCGGGCCCCTGGAGGCTGGGGCAGATGGGCAGCACAATGATGCGCGGATCGGGCTGCTCCTGATCCTCCTGCTTATCCTTGGGGGCCACTGGCAAGCTGGGCCTGTGCGGTGCCGCCGGCGCCAAAGTATTCGACTGCAGCGGCACCCCAATCCGCTCATCCTGTTGGTGTTGGTGGTGCAGCGGAGTGCGCCGCTCGTTGCCGCCAATTACGTGGCTCTGTGTCCAGTAAAAGTTGGCGGGACTATGTGGTTCTGCATAGCCATCATCATCATCATTATCGTCATAATCAGCGAAGCGGAAAAGCTCAATCAGTTATTTGGAAAATGCATGTACACAACCTGCCTAAAGTCTGCTCCTGGAAACTGAACCCCTTAAGTACCCCACTAATTGCTGGGAATTAGTTAATAATGGGGAAGCATCGCTGTTCTTGCTGTTAGTCAATGTGCACACACAAATGCCAATTTACACATATGAGGGGGTATTTACTGAACCTGATAAGGTGATAGGTGATAAAGCTGATTGCTTTTGGTGTCTCAAAAGAATAATATTTGTAGTCAATAAAACCTTTGCTGGTTTTTTTAGATTTTATAGGTTTTAACCATCCAAATTCAATAGCTTTCCTCAGATTCTGGCCTGCTTTATGTTAACATTAAAAACTCAGATGAAATAAGTCAAATGTGAAGAGCTTATCGAACAATATTAAGTTTGGTTTAACGAAATCAAATCATATTTGAAACCTGAACATTATTTAGGATTTATTGACACATTTGTATTTAAAGTGATTGAAATACATATTGTTGTCAGTGAAAAACCAAAACCAAATCAAAAACAGATAAGTATTATTACTCGACAGTGACAACTTGGTTGGAAATTAAGCTTTTGAGCTACCAATGTGATCACCCTATCAGTGCCATTCAATACCCGGTTTATTACTTTACAGGGAGGTGAGATCCAATGGGCGTCACTTACGTAATGAGGCGCTCGCATTCGGTGCAAATGTTCTGGCCAGTTGGGAGTCCGCCGGTGCTCGGGGGCTTGGGGGAGTTCACGGGGGCGCTGACATGGCGAGTGGTGCTCGATTGCTGTTGTAGCTGTTGTTGTTGCTGATGGTGTTGCTGGTGATAGTGTTGCTGTTGTTGTTGTTGGTTGTATTGCTGTTGTTGTTGGTTGTATTGCTGTTGTGGCTGTTGTTGTTGTTGCTGTTGCTGTGGTGCATCATGCTCGTAGTGGCTGTTGCCGAATGCTGTTTATATGTTTTGTAGTGGGCGAGGTTGTGATTGTTGTTGCAGGTTGTTGATTTTGGTGTGTATGGAAAACAGTTTAAATACAAACATGAGTTAGACAGAAAGATAGACAGAAAGTGGATTTTCAATGGGTGTGTCATTCAAGTATTCCTTAGCAGTCAATGAGAGACAGAAATGAGCTGGCAATTCAAATGAAAATAAAGCTCAAACAATCCTATAAAATAGATAGTCTATTAAAATCAGACCATAGAACTCATAAATATCCCTTCACTACATGACCCCTTCTATCGAAAAACTATTAAGCTGTATGTCTACACAAAACTCTTTGCTTCACTGAAAATAATACTTTAATATCTACGACTTATTAGGTCCGTGCAGGTGATTTTGAAATTGTTGGTTAATATATTTATAGACATGACTGTGTGGGGGCACTAGAAATGTGTCTTCAAATAGAGAAAACGAAAGTCCATCTCCTTCTGCTGGTCTGATGGGGTTAAACGACAAGAGAACAAAACAATTTAGTTACATTTGGATTTCACCCATTTCAAGGTCCCTGCTGGGCGTTTTAAAAAAACATTGGCTAGCATCTGGCAGACTGCCCGCCCACCTTTTCCCGCCCCTCCCTCTACTAATCGCCCAGTCCATCGCTGACGAACGGATTGGCACCGTCGTTCAGCAGGAGCAGCATTCGGGCCAGCTCATAGTTGGCTTCATTACCTGGAGTGGACTGGCCGGTCTCCTCCTCGCGCAGGAACTTCAGCACCTCGGAGCGATCGCCCTGGTATTCCTTCTCGTTCTTCTTGAAGTTGACGCTAGAATTGGGAAAATATATTAATTAGTCTACGAAATTTTAAATTTATTGTTTAATCGAACGACTAAAGAACTCTATTATTTATCTTTAGAATCAACTGAATTTCCTACAATTCAAGGAGCAAGCAAAGTGAGTTCTAACTACCAGAACTTAGTCTTGCAACACAGGGGTAAATGAAACTAAGAGGTTTCGTAGCACACTTTCAAGCGTGTACGCAGCGCAGCCCGAAAGTATGCTCCAATAAGTGAGTGAGTGGCGGCAACAAGATTGTTACGCATCCGCCGCGTTGGCCAAAAAATCCCCCAAAGAAATTAAGCGCTAAAGGCGCGCTTTATGGTCCCACGCGTGCGTTTTGGCCCGCAGAAGTCGGCAACTGGCACAAACTGAAGCACTTGGCCCGACTTCTACTGCCATGGCTATCATTTGCCAAATTGCACTCACCGTTTCGACCGCCCTGCGGTTGCTCGCACGCCCTGCTTTCGTTTCTTTTTTCTGTTTGTTCAGAGCAAAACAGAGCAGAGCAAGAACATTTTTAAGTAAAACTTTTTCTGATATTTCGCACTGTCACGGCTGCGGCGCAGACAGTTGTTTGTTGCCTTTTCCCTTGCTTGCCACCCGTGTTTCCCCGGAAAAACTTACCCGAGCACACCGCCAGCCAAAACCTCCGCCTGGGCCGAGAGTGTTTCCGCAATAGATTCATCGCTGTAAATGCCAACCGGGGTGTTGTATTGTTTATTGACAATGCTCTTCACGCCTCCATCGCCGCCGTTGGACTGAAAAATGTTTGCGAGAAATAGGAAGTACATGAGAAGTTGTGTCAGTCTGAGAAAGTGTAAAATGAGCTAAGTTTCCGAATGAAAATCAAGGGAAAGCAAAATATCTCCACGCACTTATTGTAATTGAGTATTATTCTTCTCCATCTCTGAGCCCTTCTCACAAAGTTTAACTAGCTGAAACGGAGCCATGTCCTCACTGCCAATTCTACATTTGCAATTGAATTGCATAATCTCAATATAAATAATTATTGATTTATTAAACTTTACTTTCTTTAAATAATCAATAACATCCTCTTTGCATATTAGCCTTTCATAATATTGCCTTGACTAAGACATACATATTCTAATTTCAAATTGAGTTTTGTATCCTGTTTCTGTGAAAATTGCATACTAAATTATATTCCAACGCCAGAGGTGTTTACCAATATCTAGGTTCTATTTCTACTATGCCATTCGCATGGCCTTAAATCACATTAAGCTGCTCTGAAACTTGGCTCATAAAATGATCCCAAATCAATTTCATGTTCGTTGTCATTGGCTGGAGCTATTATTATACAAATTCATAACAATAAAAGATACGTAAATGTATGCATATCCAGCACACACACACACTCTAAGATAGACATTACTATGCATGGCATGGCACGAATGGGTGGGTGGGTATTTGAGTGTGTGTGAGGGACCTTTGCACATTAATTCTTGCCAGGCAAATAATCCTAGCACTCATATTCATTACTCATTCTGACACTTTTCAAAACTACGCACAAACAAACTGAGCGTCAGACAGACAGACATCGTATAAATGCAAATGTTGTCAACTCATACAGAGGGTTTGGGGTTTTGGATTTTGGGTTAGGGTTCCCCAGCCCAACAGCCGAAAATGAAATGAATGAATATGAAAAGCCACAGACAGACAACAAAATAAACGCAAAGTGTGGCCAAGGGGTAAGGGGGATGGCGTTCTAGAACTAACTATCAACATCATTGGTCATCATCAGGACGTCAGCATCAGCTGGGCCACTAAAACTTTCCGCATTCCCAACTTTGGGCTGCCAGTTTATGAATTTTATAAATGATGTGGCACAGGGATGGGGCAAGAGTGGGTGATATACTCTGCGTGATTGCAAATTAGTACACTCACGAAGGGGCGGGCCGCGTTGTTGTAGCCACAGCCGATGTGCTGGCTGTCCTGTTGTTTGTGAGCCAGAGAGGTCTTCGTCACCGTCTGCAGATACGGCGAGTTGGGCTGCGGCACGTTGCCCGTGGGCGTCACATGCGGCCTCCAGGTGGAGCCGCCACTAGAGGATGGGAGAAAGGGAAATTACTTTAGATACTCAGTCTATCGACATGGTTCGCAACCACTCACCGCTGCACTGTGATGACAAAGTTGTTGCCGGAGCGCACCACAATGTCCTGGGCGTCCTTGTGCCGTAGATTGAAGACATCCACGTCGTTGATCTTGACCACCGCATCGCCGGGCTGGAGGCCAGCCTGCTCGGACAAGCTGCCGGCGTTAACCTGCAATAGAATCAAGAAAAACAAGCCCAGTTAGTAGCCATCGATCAACTCGGGTCATAAAATGCGCCGTTGGCCGAAACGGCTTTAAATTTATTATGCTGCAACTGCAAAAATTATGAGCGGGCAATCCGAGGCCAAAAACCCGCGGTGGCGCTGACTTTAGCTGAATATATTCCACAGGCCCATCGAAACATGCAGATTCAGATATATTTATCTGTGTTTTTTGGCCCCCAACTATTGGCCAAAGTTTAGTTTTATAGGCGTTGCTTTGTGTGCGTTTTGGGTGTTTGTTTTCATCATTTATTTATTTCCGAGTATATGTATGTTTTCGGGCGCTTCGACGTCCGCAGGGAAATCGTGCGGGAAAATGCCATAAATTTGCGCGATTAAAATCGTAAAAGTTACGCCGGAGATTCTTCTATATGGCCAGCGGCTGTGTGGGAGGCACTGACTCATACAGACGGCAGAGAATTTTCAAATTTCAAACTTGAAATTGAAATGGAAATGGAAGGCAGTGACTCAAGCACCAAGCACGGAGGATTTCGCATAACTATTAATTACCAAGTTTTGTTTGGGATAACAAAAATTGCAAACTAGATAAATGGCAGTAAGTGTTTCGGAAATTATATTATAATATTTAAATATGTTTGCCGCCAGATAGCTTACAGTTTGTATAACACAGATTTATATACCTAAATATATTATTATAAGGTACTTGCACCTATTTTTAAAATAGCTATGAGCACATATATTTTCGCTTTGTTAAGCTTTTCAGCTCCATTTAAACTCAAACTTCTTTCGGCAAATTTAAAGCCGCTTAGAATGGAAGTCACTTGGCCTGTCAATGTCGCTTCATCAGCCAAACTAACCAACTAAGCACACACTCAATCCCTGGCACACAGAGATACACTCATCAGGCTAAAGTCCACAACCGCAAAATACAGCCACAGAGGAAAGAGGAGGCTGCTCCTGTTGCTCCTCTCGGGGTCTAGGCCAAAGGAGGTCCAAACGGGGGCTCAGGTGTGCCCCAAAATTATACGCGCCATGCACGTATCCACTTTGGCAAATTGTCTGTTTATCAGACAACTGGCAGGCCCAGTCAGTCAGTCCCCGCCCCTTGAAACCCCCCCTTGAAAACCCCCTTTCGACTGTGGTCGCTTTATATTTGCACAAAACGGGGCGACGCTCGTGCAAAAACAAACACAAACAGAGACACTCGCACACAGATACGCCGCCTCGTTGTGTGTGAGCATAAATATTTCATTGGCGCACTCACCAAGCGAGACACCTAAATTTTGTAATATTTACAAAGTTGCCAAAAAACGTCGAAGCCCCCCAAAAACCGAATCGAATTGAATCGAGGCGCAGCGAATCGGAGCAGCCGAGCAGAGCCGACAGGTTAACCGAGCCACAAAAATGTACACTGGGAACAAATTTATTTAAAAGATCAGAGTTATCTTCATCTTCAAATCTTATATTTATATTTAGGAGCTCAATACTGTGAAGTATGATCTTTAAGTTTAAATTTATACTAGAAACAAAGCCTTCTCTTTTATTTCTTTATATTAATAAGATATTGAATGGAAACTTAATTTCAATTGACTTTAATCGGATAAGAATAAGGTGTTTTAAGACTTTATAAAAATGTATTCAAAAGTTGATAAACTTGTTTTAGGTCGCAATGCATTTCGGTAAAACACTACCTTTATAAGAGTATAATAATACTTTATAGTGTTAGGAAATTGATCAATAACTAGATCAATTTTATTTATTATTTTAAGCAAATTAGTTTAATGATTTAAATTATCCCGATACGCTTTTCTCAGTGCACACCCAGTCGCACAGCCAAAACCAAAGCCAAATCCAAGTCCATATCCGACGTGTGCCGTTGACATGTTCATTTTCTTGCTGTCGGCTGTGGGTAAAATTGAAATTGCTTGGCCAAGGTGTTTCCCAGACAGCAACAAATAAGTCCTGGCTCCTCGTCCTGCTCATTCCCATTTCCCCTACTCCTTCCCTTCAGCCCTCATCAGTCAGGCAGTCAGCCAGTCAGGCAACCGAAATCAAAGCGAACGCGGCCCGAAAAGTATTTTTTTTGGCACGGCTTCGTGGGTCTGGGATATTGACATTTGGACAGTTTTATGAGTACCTGCGATCCGTGTTTGTCCCCCATTCCCCATTCGAATATCTATCTGTGCGCCCGCTCGACATTTGTCAGCTTTATAGCATTTGCGGCTGCCCGACAATTGACAAAGCATTTGTTTTTGCTCTTTCGAATGACTTATGAGCGGGCCACATGTACGAGGAGATGGACAGGACTGAAATGGCATTACCAGGAGCTTTCGCCCCGCCCTCGGTCACATTATTAGTTTTGCTGCCAGTTTGCAGATCCCAGAGGAAGAGCATGTTGGCCATAAGGTGCTGTATGTTATGACCACCCCATAATACCATGTACATACCCTTGTGAAGAATATCAGTCGAGAAAGCCCATTTGTCACTCAAAGGCATCTTCTCTGATTCTTTAATTGAGTTTCCAAACAATGTGTAAATAAACCATTTCGATAAACTATTATAAAAACAAGTTATCTTATTACCGTTATTTTCTTACTTTGAGAAAGCCCTTCTCCGCGCTTCTCATTCATATGGGTACCCATCTGAGCCTTTCTCAGCGCTTCTCATAAAGTCAAAACCTTTATTACACTGTTTTTAGGTATCTTCACAACTCATAGTCTCATATCCCGCTCCTTTTAACATCCCTCGCTGAGGGAGCTGGACATTAATGCGGTGTCCTGTAGTATTACATGTGTGTGGGCGCTCACAGGGGCCAGAACAAATGATGATTTATATGGTGACTGGACGGAGCTTGGGCGAAACATGCCTGGCCGAGAGTAAATGTTGTAAAAATAATTTCATTTGCATTATCATCAGCATTTCCCTGGCATGTATTTAGCATTTTAGTCCGCATCTGCATATGTATGCCCTCGCCTTCTCGGGTCGGTCCCACTTGAGAGGAGCTCTTGAAATTATATGCGTTATGACAAATACTCCCAGATATGGACAAGTGGCTTTCGTGGTGATGTTGGTTTGGCGCTGGCAGCTTGACAAACATTTTCACAAAAGTATGAAGAATTTCGTCTCGTTTCGTTGCTGAGTTGTTGAAGTGTTTGATTTGCCGGAGTCGAGGGAAAAATGGTTTCGGCCATCCAGAATCGGAAAATCCATAAAGCAAATGAAATTCTGTGGACCGAACTGAAGCCAAAGCCAAAGGCCCGTAATCAAGTCAACTAAGCGCTGCTCAAATCCATTCAAGTGCATTAAAATTGAATTTCGTTCAGCACACACACACACACACGCACACAAATCGAGAATCCAGAGACAAAATAACAACAATAGAACAAAAACCGAACCAAAATGCATTCTCCACGGGGAAATCGGGGAGGATTGGGATGCGCTCACACTTTGTATACAAAATATTTATGTTGATAAATCAAGTTTGCTTTTGTGGATTAGGTGTATCTCAAATAAATTGAATTTGTGGCGTAAATTAAGCCACAACCAAGAGCCAGGACACACACTCGCAGGACTCTGGAGCGGAGGCCTAGCAGGCTGCCAACTTCTGGCAAGTTGTCGGCCAAGTTATGAGCTTGTTTAATTGAAAATAAATCTGCTTAAAGCCCCAGCTGAGGCGAGCAATATGACAGCCACACACTCTCAATTTGCCCCTCCATCTTCGGCTCTCGGGGGCCGTAAAAAGCGAAAAGAGAAATTGCGGAAAAGTCGTAAGTAGAGCGAACATGAACAAAGCAGATAAAATACAAAATACTGCGGAAATGCAGCGCAAATACAATGAATCTCAATGTGTATGAATATGCATGGCGCATCACTCATACGCCACGTCCCCCCCAGAAGCCCTAGCCATAGTAAATCACTGGAGAGCCCAGAAAACTCCGCCACTGCTGATGCGGCTTTCTGGCACAAACAAATGGCAACCACAACACTTGACCAGCGCGAATGGGAACGGCATGGGGATGCCATGAAAATGGGAGTGGGATTCGGAGTAGGAATGGGAATGGGAGCCTGATCCCGATGGGCAAACAGTTTGCAACTAGACTGAGCTGGCAGCGATTAAACCGAGCCAAAGAGTGAATGAAAAACAGCAAACTCCCGGCCAGAGAAACAATTCACTACCACTTCGTTTGCCTGGCAGTTTAAAGTGCTCCTTGCGATCTCTCCGGACCTTCCATTTGGAACATACTTCAGCTTAAAGCCCTCGACTGGCTTCCTTTTTTTCCTGCCCAGCCACATTCAATTAGATTGGAAAAGTCACCAAATCACTTGCTAATGGCTTCGACTGTCGCTCCTCTAACCATGGTCCGTTTTACAGGACTGACCAGCCAGCCAGCCAGACTGACAGACAAATAATATTTATTTATTGATGGCGAAAAATGGGCGGCGGCAACTGCAACATCGTGGCACCCGCCAAACTGTCGGCAACATTTATAAATTATGATTGCAATCAACGTTCAACAAAAGCGCGTTCCACCATCAGCAGGCAGGCTACGTCCTGTAAGTTGGTGGCTGTACCCTATAACTTTTGGGTACTTGCAACCCCATGGAGAATACCATTTATAAATTAAATTTGTGCCTTCGTTCGTAACATCTTTGTGCTGGCTTGACTTTGTCGGTACATAAATCTCTAAGCCTTGTAAAACGTAAAGTAATATTTGCCACTTGAGCATACAAATTATATTTGAGATAACAGTTTTCTTTACTTCTTCAAAGTTTTTTCAGATGGTTAAATCTTGGTTTTTTAGTCAAGTCAGTAATAGTTTCCTAGGCCTTTAAAAAAAATTACTCCTTAGAGTTACGTATCTGATTATACTTTATTATTTACTTTATTAATTTTAAAACTTCTCTGACTTCTTACATTATATTTTCTTCACTTTCCAAAACCATTTTAATCTCAAATAGCTTATAAATTAAATTTCAGTGAGGGTATG